TTTTCATGCTGCATCCCTCCTTAAGAGAAGGCGCCCCGCGACATTGATGGCTGTAAACTTGGAGAAGTAGGCAATTTCAAATACCCCGGAGCGAGGTTTCAGCCGAATGGACAGAGTAAAGATGACATTGTCTCCCGAATTGACGCAGCACGACGAGCTTTCCCTATCCTTCGAAAGTGCCTCTGGACCTGACGCGATATTTCTATCTCCACAAAGGTCCGCATGTACCATACATCTGTACAGTCTGTTCTTCTATACGGATGTAAATGCTAAGCTATGCGTGTGGAATCTGAACGGAAACTGGAAGTCTTTGACCACTACTGCCTAAGGACAATCCTTCAAATGAATTAAACCGACTTCGTCTCCAATGAGACATCCCGTACTTGCTGCGACAAAATCACAAGGATATCCCAGGCCATTTGATAAACACGACTGAAGTGGCTTGGACACGATCTTCGCCGTCAACCTCAGCAACTCAGTGTTACTGGCCTCGACTTGAAACCGTTCCCTAATTGGAAACGTCGAAATGGAGGTTAACTCAGAACCTGGCTCGACTCAGTCCGTCAGGATATGGAAAGGGTTCTTGGATCTTCAGTATTCGGTTTCAGACGCTGCTGATGAGAATGGCTTGAACTTTCCAGCTCTACGGCCACGGATCGTCGCGCGTGGAAAAGTACCTTACGGGACATCATCGAGGCCGGCTAGATCAGTCATGATCGCAGCCGCAGCAAATACAAGTAAGTACCCTAACGACATATGGGGTTCCTTGAAACCTAAAATTAATAACCAATCGATGTTTTAAAATCGTACAATGAACATACGTGACGCCCACGAGAGGCACCTGAAGAAGGTTCGATGTCAAATACTTTGAAAGGTGAGCGCAGATACAAGTAGTCATTCGTGAAGAATAACCCGCCGCCAAGAATCCCTTTATCGCAGGGGGGAGATAAGTTGAACCCTATTAACTGCGATCTTCAGACAATGGTTTCTTAGAAGAGAAGAAGTCAGTGGACGCCAGAGTAGTAGGAACAGTAAATTGTGTACACAGAGGAACGGAGAATAGATGGAGGAAATTTGACTTGTGAGCGCACGACCAGCCAGGAGAGCCAGTCGGGTCCAAGTGCCAGTTTGACAGCAGTCAGGCTAATGGGCAGAGAGAACAATTCACGCTTGCAGACTTGCTATTCATCGCCGTGCTAAGAACGTGGGTTTGCGGCAACTGTGATTGGCTGTTCCCAGACGTCGAGAACTGCAGTCGTGAGATTCTAGTGGAGTTCACTTCGACGCGAGCTAGTCACAACATCTTCACGGAGGACAAACTGTATGCATTGCGTCACTGCGATAAACACATATAACAGTTCGCCCGTTGCGTCCACTGTGTGCTTTACAGCATGGCGGGCGAGTGAATTTGTTTATCATGATAGTAGACAGGCATGTCGTCCAGCGCTCTCTAGCCTTCTTCACACACTTGGGGCTCAGGGGCAGGATAGCTAGAAAGGGCGGAGGCGTAATTGGTTGCAGTGTCTGACAGATTTAAGTAGTCCATTTACACGTCCCACATACGATATGGTCTTCGCTCAACCTGACTAGGTTTTCACAGAACAAGGGGAGCGCCTCGAATTCCCTCTAACTGGGAATGACATAACTGCCAAACGCAGAAGGAGCCAATATACCCGACTCTCTCTTCTGCGCAGACCGAATTATTCTGTCCGTTGGTGCCTTTTGAACCCGTGACGATTATCTCATTGCGGTAATTGAAAGCGCTTCATATTTTTTATACTGAGGAGTGCGCTCAAGGGATTCTGCAGTGTGAACCTCGCTCTCACTCTTCCATCTACCGCGGTCCGAATGTTGGGTTTCACCACAATGACTAGCAGAGCTCAACAGGCCTTCTACGCGGGCCGCAGATTATTTGTTTCTCCCCCACAGAGCAGATAACACGCAACCATAGGTCCCTTCTTCTCCATTTTCTGTGGATCCAAGTCACTCAGCTCCGAGGCATGACAAATCACACAAATTGCACAGTTAGGTGAGTGAAAATAATGACGAGATCAAGAGTCAGAAAAGCAGGGCTGAGAGAGAATAATGCTGCAATGCTGCTAGCCGCTGGGTGGCTGCTAGTGGCGCTCGAGAGGGAACCCCAAGACAGAACGGAAGGAATAAGTCACTTCACCTATTGGTAAGATTCCATCCGTAAATATTAATATTTCCGATCGAAACCTGCAGGACAACGAGCCAGTGGCTTAGTGAGTTAGAGGGGTGAAATTCTGATCAACAGGTCACAGGTTCGAGCCCTGGGGTGGTGCATCTGTCGTGACTAGCTCGCGCCGAAGTGAACTTTCCTGAAGTCCCGCAGCCGTTGATCTCGACGTCTGGG